TGCCGTTAACAGTTGAGAAACACAACTACAACACCTCGTACAGCGCTGGCAGAGGGTTAATATTGAAATGTGACACATTCAAATATGGACTGGAATGAGTAAATCTGATTGCACCTGCTTCTGTACGCCGCAGACAGTTAGGGTGACAGATGACGGCGCGGTGTAATCATTTTGCTGTGCAGGAAGCAGCACGTTCAACTGCTAAAAAAAAAAAAAGCAGATTACTTTGTGGAGGATTCAGCAGGAACAGGTATATTCAAAAGCGGGTTTCAGTTTCTGTAATCACAGTGGATGGCAGAACTAAAAGTCTAACATGCTCATTATACAGCACGGGTCAAAAGGTAAAACTGGTCTGGATTTTACTGGGATGAAATCTGATCAAAATACCTTTAATAGATCGTTGATCATGACAAAGTTTTCGATTAATATTTCTCCTATGCATATCCTTTCTTTTACAAATCATGTGTACAAACCTCCTCAGGACAACAGATAACAGATATGAGCGGGTACAGAATGTAGTCAGTGCTTCCTAGATGTCTGTGCCCACTGGGCCTGATTTCCTCCCAATGGAGATGCAGCGGGGAGGTCAAACTGAGGTTGAACATGGGTATCTGTCACCTGACTTGGCGTCTGTGTTCAAAGAGTTTCAGTTTTGGGAAAGAAGTCACCGGCTGTAGCAAACACCGGAGGCCCGGTTTCACACACTCCTTTCATTCACTCTCAAATTACAGCGTCCGTGTAGACGGTAAGGATGGTGTTTTGGTATTTTTCAAAAACAGGACTCCTTTCCTTTATGGAAGAGTTCAACACAAACCACTCCCACATCACATGAAAGAACCAATGGAAGAGGAAAAGTGTGGAGATGTGAAGCAGTTATTGACTGAGAATCATTCAAATCAGTGCAGAGAGAGAGAGAGTGAAGAGACTCTGAACCCATCCCACTGGAACACAGTGCCCAGCTGTAGCACTCTGATCTATGTTGCATTAAAGAACTTTAAAAAGGAAAACAATGTGATTTCTTAGTTGGAATTCTGTTCAATAAATTTCCTTAATTCTTCCGAATTTCAGGACGAGGCTTTTTCCACGTTCATGATTTTATTCAACACTTGCGTTTTTTGGCAACATCTTACTGTACGTCTCCACAAATCAATAATTCTCCCACTCTCACGCCTGAAGACCTCATTCAAATGTTTTCCTTTTTTTTTTTTTTTTGCTTCAGTCTCATTAATAAAGCCAAAAACAGAGCAGCTCTGCCCTCAGTGTGTCAGTGGGATTTGCTGCCAGAGCTTTGATCCAGACTGTGAATCCTTCCTCCCTCCAAGCTGAAATAAAATCAGCACCATTGGTAGGACTGATGTCAAAGCGGAGCTTCAACAAGTTGAAAATGAGCTGGAAAACTGTTCCTGGCAAGCGTTGCTCACTTATGACGGAGTGACATTCAGATATCAAACACACAGCAGCAGGAACTGGCAGTGAACTTTCAGCGCCGCTTATTACTCGGCTCGGAGTGGAGAGTGCTGATCGGTGAGAGACGCATCGCGGTTAACTGTTTCATTCAGACGGGGAAACTTGGTCAACGCAGAGAAAATCCTGTATAAGAAGAGACACAGGTGGGACTGATTGCTGCAGAAATGGGGTCCTAAATAAATCATTTCAACCCAGTCCTGTAAAAGAAAAGGCTCAGGACTCAACACAGGAGACAAGTCAACTTAAAGTTGGGCAAATAAACCGCTTAAACCACTGCAATCCAAATGGTCAACCAGTGTCTACTTTAGGTAGATACGGTACTTGATTTCTCAACTTGGAAGTAAAACTTTAAAGATACTGATACCGTTTTTAAACATCAAAAGTACATCAGGACAGCACGCCAAATCGACTCGCTTCCTTTTTTTTCCCCGAGCAACAAAAAGAGACAAAGGGTTGATTTGGTGTGCTGTCCTGAAATACTTCTGATATATTTTTGAGAATTCATCAGCATCCATACAAGTTACTGAGGGTGTTTTATTTCCATTACCTTTTTAAACTCCACAGCAACATTAAATAGAAGTCCCAGGCCCCACAGATTGGGGAAGTTCTTGTTTTGAATTAACAAAAATGGCGGCAAACACCTGCTCACTGTTTAAATTGCATAGACATTGTCAATGCTGCACCCCCTCCTTTGCTCTTGGTTAAAAATATGACTGACGACTCATAGTTTAAGATTAAATGCTTTTTGGAAACTACAGATCATCAGAATAAACGGAGTGTATTGCTTCTAAGTCTAAAAATGTCCCTAACTTTAGTCTTCATTGGTAGTTTTTGTCTAAGAAAACTGATTTCAAATGCTCCATATCTCTAGAATATTTACATCTCAGGTCAATACCACAAGGAATGCTAGAACTGGTGATGTGACATCTAATAGGAAATACTAATTGTGTACATGAGTGTCCATTAGTTCTTGGTTGTAAGCAAACAAAACAATGTGGGTGTCTACTGTATAATAAGTCTGAGTGCAGACATACCAACATGATATTTGTTAACCATGCAATAGTTATTTGAACTTTGTACATGCTTTGATTTGGGGGATGTGATCATATCATTTCTGCAGGCAGTGTTAAAGGGCCTTCTCACAGTTTCATGTCAAGAAGAAGCATGCTGCCTAGTGCCTACACTGGTTAGTTACTGTGATTCCATTCTAGGAGTATCTTCAAATGTTTTACATCTGTAGAATCTGAACGACTTTAACGCAAGATTTGTACGTATGTAAGTTACACTCCAGCATTTACAGCTTCTTACACTAGATCAATTTAAACAAAAGTTTATGCAAACAACACGTTGATGCTGCCAGGTCACACTTGCTCCCCAAAGTAATGACAACATCGACCAAAGTGCAACTTGATGATGCAAAACGAAGACGCCTTCGCTTTGGGCTGCAACAATAAAGCATGCCATTACTGTTATACCTTTTATTTACGGCCAATCTAAACATTGCTGTGACATAATTACCTGTTCTGTTCTAAAGGTTTTAAAGGCCACAGCACAAGAAAGAAAAAAAACAAAACAATGGGCCACATGACTTTCTCATTAAGTGATACATGATGTCCAAACATCACCCACAGCTATAAATCATTCGAGTTGTCAGAAAATGCAAAACAAAAAAGGCGCACAAACCGCTTAGAATTATCCAAGCAGCTCGGGGGTCGCAGTTGGACATTTGACTGGATAATAAAAGCTTAACACCTGATATTAACAAACATCCAGCCAGCTTAAGTGTCCTAGAGTGAGACACTGAAGCACATAGCCAACCGTGTTACTGGCAATGACCCTTGAACTCCCCGCATGAGGGCAAAATGAACATTTCCCTCCCACAGTGATGACATTATAAACCCACTAACGCCTAATTCATTCTATCACACTCTGTCATCAAAAAAAAAAAAACAAGCAGCAAGAGGGGAGGCGAGGATAGTCTGTGTATCTAGCTGAGGCAGGACAAGTGTGTCCGCCTGCTGCCTCTGACGTCCACTACACAGAACTGCCTTAGATAAACTTTACAAAGTAGCTCCAACCGCTGTTGCGACACAAGTGTGATAGTCAGCACATCGGCTCGGTTTATTGGCCTCCTTTGCTCATCCACAGGTGAAAACTTTCAGGGGAGTAGATCATTCCTCTTAGAAAACATGATGCTTATGGCTCTATATAGTCTCCCGCTTCATCTTGCCATCTGCGAGTAATACATTATCCACCTGCTGGTATCTATAAACCACCATCTGACACAAGTTAATCAGCCAAAGTGTCGCTTCTTTGAATTAATGTGCGGCTCAACCAATCAGATCGTCAGTTCACTTTCTTTCTGTGACATATATTTCAGGTAATCTCAAAACTAAGCCTGGTAGGAAAACAGAGTTCTGTATTTTTTTTTTTTTAACTGAGCGTTATGTGAATTTCCCATTCAAATAATGTCACATGAACGCAACACCTGTGCCCAACAGCACCTTCAACTCAAAGACCAGGCTAAAACAAGAGACTTGTCAGCAAACAGAGCTTCCAAGAAGACCATTTCACCAAAACACACGATCTCCTGCTTCAGAGAAAGGGTTTTACAAAAGTATTGACCCCTAAACGTGAAGCCGGTGTGGTACTCAGGAAGCCCTCAAATGACAGCAGCAGCGCTGCAGAGCCTACAGTACATGTGGCTCAGATGTGTCCATGGTTATCCGTGAACTTTTCAGGAGCTTTTGAGTCTCAATAAACAAAACCAGCTGCAACGCCTCAACAGATTGCTTTAAAAAGGGGAGCTTTGCACATTTCAAAAATAATCAACTACTGCTTATGATATCAACAAAGGCCCGCAGTGCAATATCAATGAGAGTTTACAACCGTTTTTTTTTGGTTTTTTTTCTGCTACAGAGGTGTAATCCCCTGCAGGCAGGTGCTAGTTAAGGGAACAATCGTTGAATGATGTAGGGGGAGAGAGAGAGAGAGAGAGAGAAAAAGGACAACACAGAAAGCAGCAACAACCAAAGAAAAAGCCCCACAAATGCCAGCTGTTGGGGAGAGCTGCGTTTACACCAGACTCCCATCACCGGCAGCTGACTGTGTTGAGACTTGGAGGCTTGAATGCTGCACACATTTCAGCACCCTGAGCGGCTTAATTATTAGAGCTATATCAAAACTCAACACCCCTGTGGCTCTACCATTTCCAGGCCATCATTCCTTTATGGCTAAGGGCCAAGTGTTGTTCTCCAAAACTATGTGCCAAACTTAAAATACTTGGAGACATATTTGGGTATTTTTGTACAATAAAGCAGACTTTTTTTTCTTATGTAGAATAGGCAAGTGGATTTATATCTAGCACCTAAAGGCGAAGGTACACACTATAGAGCTTGCTTTGTTTGTCACAGTAGTGTAGCAGTGCTGCTTCCTGGCTGAGAGGAGCCCAGATCCTGCTGACTGCATCTTCACGTTTGTAAACACTTCCCACATGCTACCTGAGAGGCACACAGCTGCACCAGGCTACTTACCGAAGGTAGTACTGTTTTAAAGCAAACGCAGCGTTGGAACAACTCCTTGGAAAGTTGAACTCGTCCCCAAGTTCAATCCATTGGTTTTTGTCTGACACCTAAAAAAAAAAAGGAGGAAAAACGAGAGTTGGTGAGGAGATAAGACACAACAAGAAAAAGAGCGGTTACACTTACAACCATCTGGTCTGCTACAAGTTCTCAATGAAGCAATACCACTAATCAATAACTTTCACTAACAACTAAATATACGGAAAAACACAAAAGGTTTATAAGGCACAACATTTAGTTAAACAATATTTAATTAGCTAGCGAGCATATTTACATTTGTCACATCTGTGAGTACAAACTGGCTGATTCCCTTTAGGATACTATGGTTACTGTGAAGGCTAGTTAGCACTGCAGCTAACGAGCTAAGTTGACTTTTACATTTTGTTGTTAAAAGCTAACGTGGCTAACGTTTCGCCAAAGTGTGTCAAAAACACAAAGTGCTGGAGTTTGAGTCGTCTGAATTGTGAGTCGCTTTGTATACCGTTCACAGTGTTCACTACATGGGCCTGCTGTGAGGCCTACATTTTGTGAGCAGCCATGAAGCCGAAGAAAGATGGCTAATGGGGAGAAAGAAACACGAAGCTTCCCCCCCGGTAAAACTGCCGGTAAAAAAAAGCCCGGGAGAGCCGCCGTGCAATCCGCGGTGTTTCCTCCAGGCCGGGCTCCGTGCCGCCGGGGCTCCGGGGCCGGTAATCGATGTTAAACGTGCCCGCTAATTTTGAGTCGCTCCAACTGCACTCTGACTCTCAATTCAAAGCACACAACAACACAAGCCTCCACATTGCATAGAGATACATGGAAAACTAGCACAAGGCCAACATCGACCCACTAACGCTGTTCTGGAGGATTACACTTGTCCCGGGGAACCCACACGGAGTTGTGGAGTGGTCCACGGAGCAGTCCACACAGAGCAGAGTGTGCAGGAAAAAACACTTTTAGTTCCCACTCACCTTAGCAAATCCACCTAAAGAGACGACTCTGATATAGAGAGCATTCAGATCCAGCTCTTTCCCACCCACGAAAGGAATCTTCTTGAACGGCGATCTAAAGGGATAACACAAGAAATAGACGCACACATGTTTAAATAACACTTTGAGGTAACTCGCAGTCACATGCAATTAAGATTTAAAGTTATATTTCCTGGTAATAAAGACGACCGAATCTCACCCTCTGCTTTGGTGAAATTGCCGCAGCTCGTCCAGGAAAGCCTGTCCTTTCCTTCGCTGATCTAGTAGATTTTTCCCCGTCGAATTTGCCATTGTTTTTGCATGCAAAAACGGTTAAACCCCACTTCAGTCGCTTCTTAAGACACCAAGGATCCCATACTCCGCCGGCGCTCAGTCATTCGCGAAGCTGAGTGTTTAAAAAGTTAAAGAAATAGCTGATAGCAAGAAGAGCGGCAGCTCGCTAATAAAGACTGATGCACACTGAAAGCAAGCCCGATTCAACCCCGGACTAAGTTCCAACGAACAGTCACAAATACGACCGATTTACCGGCAGATTAGAAACGCCATGGCTGGATGTGTAGAATAAATGCTTTTGGTCGCGGTTGTATTCGTTTGGAGTGGTTTGACAGTGTGTTACGGACGCAGCTCCGAGGCTATCGCGCACACTGTAGAGCGGCAGAGGGATCCAGTTCTCAGACAAAAAGATGTGAAGGCCGCGGAGCCGGGCCTGCCATGCGTGCAGCGCCCTCTGTGGTCACAGCCGGCACTGCACCGTCCAGGGCAGAGCGGCTGCTGGAACAATAGAGACTGTTTTCTTTTTTAGGGACCGTCTGACAACTCGCCTCTGTTTGGAAAACGGGTCAGGAGGTACTTGGAAATGTCCCGTGGGGGGAGGGGATAACACTAATTAACATAGCTCCCTTGTTATCCAAACAGGCGTGAAATGGAGGTAACTATATATTTTACACATTTATACTATTTTTCAAAAATTGACATAAAGTCTCAGTGTGTAACCGGTTTCAAATAAGGATCTTCTAAACATTGATCTTATTTAAGTCCTAATAGGATATTTTCATTGATAATAAAACTATATTCACCCATTAATATTTCATATTCATACAAATACAGCTGCAGTATTTAAAAAAAAAAACTATGTGAAACAAAACATACCATGAAATCATATAGCCTACTCCATACATTTATTTTAAAGGTATACAGGTAATCTTTATTTCCCAACGCAGTAATTCCAGACAATGTAGAAGAAAATAAGCTAGTTCAGAAAAACAGGGTCTTTTTAAAAGTGGTTATTGACATTGATGTTTTTGGTGTCATATTTAACAGTAATAAGGAGGGATTTGGTTCATTTTTTAAACGTGAAACAAACAGCGTACTGTAATGTGGATTTGTATTTTATTGTGTCAAATAAAAATCATTTGGGGGATAATTCAGGCAACAAGTTGCGTGTATTGGTAAAATGCCAATTTGTATACCTAACTCGTTTAGTGCCAAGACATCACAAACTGCAAAAACTATTCGCCTAAATACCGTTTAGAATAATTTGTCAAACTTGTTGGTGATTCACATGTGGTCACTTCAGTCTTTCTTTTTTTTAAAAAACGATGCCATTTGTTTGTGTAAACTTGTCACCGGGGTGGTAAACGGCCCCTGTCCCTGTCTTTTCTCTCCCGGGATGGTTTTAGATTACTCCTGATCCCTTCTGGAACAAGCGGATCTTCTTGATGGGGTTACACATTCAACCATTACACGTACCCCTTTGCTCAATGAAAAACCTGTCACAAAATGGCGGAGACGTACGTTAGCAGACCCCATTTTGAGGAATTGACACTAGACAGCAGAGAAGTGCGTGTCCCTGTGTTTGATTTTCAAACATTGTGCTCTTTTTTGAAGCAAACTGCGGCACACCCGAGCTCACCCGACGCGCGTTTGGACTCCCCATCCGTCCTCAGAATCACGGGCTAACTTCACGTAGCGCCGCTAGCCCGCTCATCCTACTGGTGGCTAACTTTGATAAATTACGACGAACATGTTCCGAACACTAATCCAATTAACACACCGTTTATCTCATGTTAAAAAGGGTGGATTTCTCTACTATTTCGTGTCGGTAGAAGTCAATTTTATCTCCGCTTTTATTTTTTGTATTAGTCCGTGTTTTCTCGGACTTGTTTGTGCGCTAACGCTAGCTGCGATTATTCTAACTCTTTATTCAGACTGCTTACAATGCTAACTAGTTTATCTCATAATGAAAACGGCTCACATATTATACAGCCTTGTGTTTCTGGTGTCATGGTTTGATAATATGCAGCACAACATACCGAGTTAGTTTCATAACAGGAAAACCGTAAACACAGTTTGTGTGTTTAAAGCACGTTGTTGCTCATGCTATCTAGCTCGTTAGCATTAGCATGTGTTTACCTTAGCTTTGAATACACATTATTAAAGACATTTACAGTTTACGCTACCCTTAGATTATAGTACTATTTTGGAAAATTTGCTACCAAATAAAACGAGTTATTTTACTTGAGAACCCCTTTATAAATCGAGTTTATGGTTGAGTATGCTACTGTCAATTTAGCATGTGTTTTCTTTCTTTTACCACTTAATAAAGTTCATCTACAAGATAACAGTAAAGCGGTATTATCACAAAGAAAGCATGAACTAATGATTCATTTTGTTGTAAAAAACAAACAAAAGCACGGTTAAATTCCTCTTAAGTTACTACTGCATGAATGTAATTCACTAATGACACATTGGCTCTTATATTGGTAATGTAAATTATTTTAAATAGTATGCTTTAAGATGAATTTTCTCAACTCATTTGCAATAAGAGCCTCAGCCATCGTGGAAATGTGTGCTGTGACATGACGGGATTGTGAGAAAATGGCTTACTTATGTTGGTGCATTAGGGCATTTCATAAAGAAGGCGTCAATGGTAGACTATTATTAGAATATTATTATTATTCCAATGCGAGATAATCAGTTTTACTTGAAGAGTTGATTGTGTAGCCTGTTATGCGGATGGAGCGTGAAGTTATATGTAATAATGTAGTTATTCTTTGATATCTGACCTAAGGATTATTATGTTTTTTTCCCACATATCATATTGGAAATATCTATCAATGTGATTAGGGAACAACATAATGTTACTACTTTGTGTTGCCTAGTATTATAAGACCAAATATTGTTAGTGTCCTCTTATCCTGTGTGAGGCTTACCATTTCTGACCATTCATAATAATCTGGAGGCTAATTGAAATGCCAAAACAGCAGACAAAAGGCCCTTATTGCAATAGTCTTTATGTAAAGGGGAATTGTCAATAAAGGGTGTAGCCACTGACTTCCAGTAGATTATATTATTTGGTACCACATCCGTATTAAATATCATTTAATTTCCAATCATTCATGCACTCATCCCAACAAGATTAGATGTCGATGAATTGGACTGTACCACTCCAATATGTTAAAGGAAATGTGGGCTTTAGGTTTGTAAATGAAAAGTACTTTCAACTTGAAATCTTTGCAGCCGTCCATTTAAAGTGTAAATCTAAAAAAGTGATTGCATGGTGTTCAGTGGCTGTGAATGTGCACTTGAAAGCTGCTCGGTCAGTTATGCCATCACACGGAGGTCCTCATCTGATGTGACAGCCAGGCATCTCATGGCATATGGTGCAAATGGGGCCAGTAAGCCCAAGCTGCCTCCAAGCCCCTAGACAAAAGATCCCAGTGGGAAGCTAACTGCTTGTAACGTCCTTACACCTCCCCGCTCCCTGTGGCCTCCTCTTGCCATGAGGTGCAAAGCTCTGCTCTGTGTGTCTGAAGTCATGTTCAGTCATTCGGTGGAAAAGGGCTCCATCTTCTGGCAGCCATGCATCACCTCCAAACAGGCGGGTGGATACTCCTCATTGCGTTAGGAACATATTGTACTTGGAGGGATCAGTTGAGAGATTTTCAAGTGGATACAGTCACAGTTGGAGGATGATGCATGCTGGGAGATTAGGGGAGGGAGGCAGTGGCAGGATAGTGATCCTAATGCAGCTGAAAGTAATGCAGAAGACACAGGGCGCACATGGAACTACAACGTGGGAATTTTTTTGGTTTTGTATACAGGAATCTCCATGAAAGCATACAGCCTGTCATCACTTAGAGACTGTAGTATCGATCATCTTTATTTCACCAATTCATAACAAGTAATGTAGATGTTAATGATATCCAAGGCTTATTCAATGTGCAAGTTATTGCTGGGGTTCAAATCTAAGGACAATTCACACTCAGGACTCAGTGACATGGGGCTTTGGTCTAAAAATAGATTTTGCAGTGAATGTATGAAAAATATCATTAAAAGTACAAAATGACTGAAAATGATTGGCTGATCAGCATGTGACATCATCAGCTAGTCTGTGCCCACTGAAATCTTTAGTCTACTTATTGTAATTGTCATTAACATTTCATTTTATATATTTTAGTACACGTTGCACTGTCTTTGCTCTTCTTGTTTTTGTTTTTTCTTTCTGTGCTACTGCTCTGTGTGGCTTTGAAACGCATAGAATTGCATTGAATCAGTATAATCCAAACTTTCCTGAAAACAGATGTGAAAATGAAATGATCTTAGTTTTAACAAACATTTGTTATAAAAATACACACTGCTAATCCCAGCACGTTTTCCGGACCTCTCGTCTGTGATAAAGTTTGAAATTTGTACCAAACAGTGAGAATGTTTGTGGAAAATACTTAAAGATTCAGCTGTAGTGGAAAAGCAGCTTTGATAGCACATATAGCTTCTATAGAGAGCCCTCTTGAGGCGAGGCTCTGTGTACTGGTTATCCATCACGATCACTTTGCACCTGCAAAGCAACGCTCTTGATTAATATGTTCCTTCTTCAGGGAGAGAGACTGTTCTGGGATGGAAAACAAGCATGGACTGCTTCACACTAGTTCTGTGGTGACAGGAAATGTTTTCTTGCCTTGTTTAACAGAAATGAAGATATGTGGCAAGAAGGAAATCAAATTAGAGAACTATAACACCCTCTTACATCACTCTGTTAAAGTCAACTTCGCTCAAATGACTGGGTCAAAATGCAGACGTTTGGCAGCACATTTAATCTCACCAGAGGAGGTTTTGAACTGTGAAAAAGAGTAAAACTGATAGTGATGCTTTTTTTTTGAGATCTATAAAAGCAACTGAGACGATCAACGACTAAATGTACCACTTTTATAAAGACATTTGAAAAGCCTGATTCCACCGCAGCGGAAGAGGTTGTCGGTCAAAGTGTTTCTCTGCACGCTGCAGAAACAGCCACATGTTTTCTCATGCAAGGCCGTCCATAAGGGGGATAAAGGGGAACGCTTTCTCGGGTCCAGTCCTGTGGGGAGGGAGCATGGAGGTTAGCAAAAAAAAAAAAACACAGTCCAACCTAATTTTAGCAACAATGACCACATTTTATTTGACACATAAATACCTCAAAACACACATTTTATTGATTGTTACTTCAGTGAAGTGAAAATTGTAAACCCCTTCTTCTTAAAAATGATGAGACGTTTTTTTTGTAATGTTACTTTGTTAGCTGTTAAGTCAGTTATTTCACAATCAGTAAAGCCGCTATAAGACCTGCACACAGTTAGCATGCCAGAAAAGAAAGAAGAAGAAAAGGAGGGAGCTGGCTCGGGCATTTGACCCCAACAAGAACTTGTTAACCAACTTATTTGAGTCAGCTCCAAAGGCTGATGGGAGCCAGGCAAAGGGA